CTTGTGCCAAGTTGCATTTGGTTGCCTTCACTCCCTGTTTTTACATGGAGTATAACTGAACTTTGAAAAAGAAACTCCCCAAACTGAGTTTAATTTGTTTGATTGCAAATTCGAAAACTTCCGTCCAAATGACATAAAACCTTGTTTGGCACAGAAAGGCAGAAGAGTGCTTTACATGCAAGTGGTAATGTATGTATGAAATGGCACCCTAAGCTTTGAGCAAATACAAAATTATTTGGCAAGCAGAAGGTTGTTGGTTTTTCCTGCTCCTGAAAATACAAGTTCCTACTAAAATTTAGTCTCCGCGCAGTACAGGGTATCCTCAGATCCCTTCAGAAAGTCACTCATTGACTGACAAGTTAGTCCTCAAGGGAGTTTAATGATCCAGAGATTAATTTTAGCTGAGATTAAGTTTTGAAATAGCGTCTTTGAAAATTGTGGACAACACTCTGGGAAGATCGCTGCTCAAGTCACCTACACATGACAGCGTTGCTGCTGAGAACGACAACCAACATTTGCTTGACTTTTCACATCTAAAGACATCCCCCACTTGAAGTCACCCCAGCTATTCACTGGTGCTGAGTGACTACAGGAGCTAAGGCTGCGATAGCTGCTCTTCTCATTTTGTGCTAAAATTTCTTAGAAGAAAGGTAGCTGGCTGAAAGAATTAGTTTACAAATGACAAAAAAAAATTATATGCCCAGTGATTAACCTAATGCTTTCCAGACGGTGGGGACCTTAACAAAAATACGTATAGGAGTGAGGGTATGCATTTCTCATCAAGACTAATTTTGTCTGATCCCCCTTCCTTTGGGAGCAGGGGAAGAGATGAGCCGTACAGCTGGTGCCAAACACAGGCCACTTCCCAGGTACCTGTGGCAGATCCCAAGACCCAGACAGCTCACGTGAACATGTATAACCCAGCAGTTTAAGGGAACCATATTGTACAAAACAGGAACAGCACAGGTTATTTGTTACCAAAGTAACACTAAAAACGAAAATGTAAAAAAAAATAAATGGTTGTTGCCTTGTGAAGACTTTATAGCTTTCTCTCACAAATCCTTCTTTGACTCCGCATAAGCTGCCACGTAGCTCTGCCCATGAGCTGGGGGACAGGCAGGGAACTCCCCACAGAGGGCCACTGTGCATCGAACCCACCAGCTCTCTGCAACACAGCGGTGCTACTCCTTACACGTGGTAACACGCTATTTGCCATTTCCATTGCTTTACGCTGGCCCTGCATGTCTCTATAAGACAGACTTTCATGAAGTTTACAATATTCCCGTGGGACTGGACCCATCCCCGTCCCCAAGATCCCTGGATACACCATTGTAGATATTTGGTAATATGATCAGTTACTCCAAAAATAGTCATGTTCCTAACTGCTTTTGATCTTGAGTCAAAAACATCCTACAGAATTTAGCTTTTTAGCATCAAATATTTTTAGTAGCCCTCTTCTGGCCACAAAATCTTCAGAGTCACTAGGCTTTTTATTTTGTGAGTTTTAAAGCAGACATTTTCCATGTGGAAACATGAGCGCTAGCAGTTTCATCCCCTCAGCGCAGTAGGGAATGAGTCCCTGCAGCTTTAGGTACCCCCGGTGGAAGAGACTCCAGGGCAGAAGAGTTCAGGTCACTGAGATCTACTCACGCCTTATGCCTCTTTGCAAAACACAGAAGTTCAAAAGCACCATGTGGTAAATGGAGCCCATAGGGCTAGTCACTGGGCAAGTATCTTGGAGGTTCCGAGACATGGGTAAATTCACTTAACCCCAAAATCAGTTGGAGAGCCATGACTTCCCTGCAAGAACCCATAAATCAAGGTCTGGCTTCCAACCTTTGCAAGGCCACCTATGATTTCAAGTCTCACGTGGACGGGCATCACTTTTTCCATACATTCTTTACACAATTAGGCTAAACCAGTCATTATTTCTTCACACCAATTTAAGAATTACAGCTGCTGGTAGATTTTGTTTTGTCTTCAGTTTCTACTGACAAATGTAAATAGCCAGAGGAAGGTCCTTTCTAATTTTCTCAGGAGAACAGCTCTACCAAAGAGATTATTGAGAAATGTTCTCACTTGAGCTCTGCCCGTAAAAAATGTGTTTTTTCAGGGACTCTCTCTCACCCACAGAGCGAACCACACGCGTTCACACACAAGCAGCTGAACACTGTGGTTTCGGATAATGTTCCTTCGCCCTCGAGTGGCTTGTCCTACCCTAAGTAAAGCAAAACGTTTATTGTGTCTTAATCTGAATGACTGGTGCAAAATGACATGTCACACACTACGAAGGCACAGTTGCTTCTCCTCCATCTTCCTTCAGGCATGCAAACAGTTAAGGCAAAACTTTGCTTCCTCCAAGCCTTTGGCCTCTCTAAAGGTGCAGGCATGCGCTGATTTATGTGCCATAAATACGTAGACACATTCCCATTGCTTTCTGACAGAAACCCAGGAAAATCCCACTCCAAAGTCGTCTTATTGCTCTGCTGACGGACACCTTTGAAAGCACGTCAGATCGCATTACATGAATGTGTTTGGAGATGATCTCTAAATTGCTGGGATTTGGGTGAAGGGTGTGGGAAGTCTTATACTTTGGCTGCATCTCCAGCGCAGATTTTTCTCCTCCTTGCTCTGGTATTTTCCTTAAGTCCTGTCACTGCTGAGAAAATCTCCTTTTGCTGTTCATAAGCTCTGGAGGACCTGTCCAACGTTTAGGATCTATATGCTTCTTTTAAAAACCAAGATCAGGATTTTCAGAAGCTTTTATGCATTTAAAGATGCTGGTGGTTTCCTAGCAAGGTCTTCAAACAACCATAGCTGTGCTCCCAGGCATTCAGACACAAACTGCAGGGTAGAAAAGAGAGACCTTCAGCTTCTCTCTCACAGTACATAACTAACTTTTCAGAGAAGCTGAGTAGGATGAGACAGGCAGTGAACTACAACACCGAAGGACTATCCCAGGCATCTCTCATGCTTCGGGGCAGGCTTGCCTTATAGTGACGGTATCTTGATAGTGATAATCCAGCTGGACCCATTACCAGCAGGCAGTGAGCAGTAGCAGTCGCACACATGACTTCACCGCATTTCTCGTCAAGACTAATTTTGTCTGATCCCCGCTTTCTTTGGGAGCAGGGGTAGAGACAAGCCATACAGCCAGCACCAAACACAGGACGCTTCCCAGGTACCTGCAGCATATCCCAAGACCCAGACAGCTCACATGAGGCCACCAGGGAGGCTCTGACCTCCTCCTCCACAAAGATGTCGGCCAAGTTCTATCCAGCCCAAGGTTGTTCAGTAAGTAACCCCCACCTTCCACCTCAGCTAGTCACAGCCACCAGCCCCGGCCAAAATCAATAGAAAAGAAGCAATCTGTCATTTCCAGGCCACACTGTTTTAGTTATGATGGGTCAAAAAACGCTAAAGGAAACACAGATGCAGTGAGATCACCTCATTTTCTGGAGCCTTCCTATCTCTAGGAGTCTTGCCTGATCTCACTCAAAAACATCTCGTTTTTGATGTGTTTTTCTCTCGTGGTCGCGCCTGTTGAACCGCAGGTGCGGTGCGTGGTGCTTGGCAGGGCCGAGGGAGCGCGGCTCCAGCAGTGGGAGGCTGCGCTCCCCCTGAGCGGCAGGCAGGCTGCTGTCTCCCCCCGGGAAAGTTTTTTCAATTATTTCAGATAGCTCCCACTCGCACACAAAGCCCGTGTTTTGTAATAAAAACAAGGAGAAAAATTACATCCAAAGGAATTTTACCTATTTCCCTCTCCACTTATTCCACTGAAGTTACCCTTTTTAAAAAAAACAAACCCCCCCAAAACAGCCACCAGAACAACAAAGTAGCCAAGAAGCTAATTTAATAACCTCATTCTTCAAAATCCACCCTGCCCTTCATACTTGCAGGTTTCAACAACAGTCCTAAATCATCCAGTAACTTCTAATATACATTTTTTAAAGGTTTCACTGCATTTCTGTCTTCATACGGGCAACGCTTTAAAGTCATGAGAGATACACAGAATGCTGCAGGTTTTCCAGTAGCTGAGTTTTACTCTGAAAACTGAGGCAGGTGTTACCCTACTCAGCTACAGAGAGCCAAAGCTGCAGCCAGTTCCTCATTATGGTACAGGAAGAAACAGAAAGGCCAACAGAGACAAAAGCAGGGATACCGCACCCCCCAAAAAAAAGGTCACTCGGGGTCCATGGGCCCAGATCAACCTGCAACAGGTTAGTACGTTGCTACATCCCAGCTGAAGCACAGTAACACGCACAGCGATCGCACACAAGCTGTCCTCGCAGCCCAGTGCCATTGAGCTTTACGCAGAAATACCGTGTCCTCAGGCCCTAATCCTTTAGCAAAGCAGCCAGCCACGGGATAACAGCCACGTTAAACTCGCTGGAAGTGTTTGCTGAAATGCTTTGCTGTACAAGGATGAGCGACTGTGGTTGGGCTTTAGCTACACTTACAAACTCCTGTACATCTTGGCTTTGGTTTTCTTTGCCACATGGCAGCTGGTTACATCCAAGACCTTACATTCCTGGGAAAGAAAGTGACTGTAGAAACTGAGCTGTGCAACATATGCTCCATCTAGTGTTTATTCACTAATACTTCATTTTCTTAAATGGTTTGTTTTGCTGTTAACACACAGTTCCATCTTTTCTGTAGTTCATTTGGCTATTTAGGATCATTATTGAATATGTTAACCTTCTGCTGGTTAACGACACAATTTTGATTTAGCCTCAGCTTATACCTTCAGTAATGATGACACACTAATTTCCATTGAGAGATTAGATCTCGTAGAACAAAATGAAGGAGCAATGTTTTAAAAGAGCAGCCAGCATTTCTCCAGGTGCTTTGCTAACGCAAAATGAACACAGAACTTTGAGCAGGAATAAAACATAAAAACTAAATGACACCCAGCGTTACCACCTGGTCAATAACCTTCAGCACAGCACGGAGCAGCGAGAGCAGTGGTTTCTCTGGGATGTTCCATGCCAGCCCGCCTGATGCCGTACAGCGGCGAGCAGGAAAAACCTGAGTCACAACTCCAGGTCTGGATGCTCACGGTGCCACTGACCCACTCCCTGAGTGCGACAAAACTCGCTCACACGCTCTATCCACCTGGCATGAGTCCCTCATGGACGTGTTGCA